TTCCATTAATGTAATTAATTTTTATCTTTAAAACTTGCTATTTATCTTTCTCTAATTCTAAGAATTAGAGAAAAGATAAATGTTAAATTAAACTGAGATTAAAGTTAATCTTATATTTATAGAACTGGGCCTAATGTATGATATTCATAATTGGCTATTTTTAACAAGTCATCTTTAGGAACAATTAAAAACACATGGAACAATATAATTCAATTCTTAATTATTAACACAATATTCTGTTGTTATTGCTGTAAAACAATACGTTCTAATTTTGTTCTTATTTTGAGATTCATTTCAAGATTCAGAGGAGATTTGGAGTTATGCTATTCAAAAAGAGTCGCTAATTAATTAGATTATTACATACACATCTATTAATAAAATCCACTGTTGTTGAAATATATATATATATATATATATATATATATATATATATAGTATTCTATCGTGTACAAATTATTTGGTACAACTATATCTTTCTTTTAGATTTATTTAAGCAAGTATCACAAGTCTTGAGTCGTTGATGCTGCAGGGAAAAACAGAGTATGATATTTCTTGAGGAATTAGGAAGATGTGCTACAACAAGCGAGACATGCCCGAATTGTGGACAACCTACAAACGCATCCTTTTCAAGGCTTGTAAAAGATAGTTGTGGCCACACCAAGTGCCGAATGTGCTTGCTATACGAGGAGCATGGATGTAAAATCTGTGAAACTCAACACTATGTTCAAAGAGAAGGTATTCAGGATTTTTTGATGAAAGGCTGTTCTTTTTAACTGCTTCTTAACTATCATTTTTGGTCTATCTTTTCTCTTTTTCTTTTTACGTTGAAGAGACCAAAAATTCAGCTAGAAAGAACAGACCAAAGCAGCTTTCGAGTTGTCCTTGTCAGATTTTTTCCATTTTATAATAAAACTTTTGATAACGCAGAAGAACCATGCATTGTGAACAAAGAACAAAGTGATACACGAATATTATCGCATGAAGTGGTATTGCCATTAGAATTAGTCATCAACAAGGATTCCAAATCTAAGGAAAATCATTCGGATTCAAACTTTGCCGAATACGGATCGTCGAGTCTCTATGAGAACATCACTTTTGACAACAACGAAGGAACTTATGGATCTGTAGCAGTCACCAATGACGCAGTCACTAATGACACAGTCATTAATCACACAGTCACTAATGATAATTCCAGCGAAACATACATTCCAAGACTAGAATCTTATAATGTAGCATTGAACATTGAGAATCATTTGAGAAATGACAATGATCATGATTCGCAGAATTTGCAGAATCAATATGAAAAAAATGTAGATACCGATCTAATTTTTTTATTAATTAATTATATATTTCATTTGTATAAAGATTTTGCAAATCCATTCATTATAGCTATTGTTCGTCAGCTCGTACAGCAAATAATTTTTATTTTATTTTTTCAATGATTATTTCCCAAAATCAAATTCTTAATTTAGTTTACACTGGGAGAACTAATTATTTATTTTTTAGTAATAAATTTCTAATTTAAATTTATTAGTAGTAGTAACTTATACTCCCCCGTGTTTTATATTAAATTAAAAACTCGATTGGAAAATAACTATTAGAAAAACAGAATGGCAATTGTTTGCAATGCAAGTTGATAGAGCATATTTTTATTTGTTTACAGGCAAAAACGAAAAATAGTGAGAAGGAGGTTGTGGAAAAAAACAAAAACAAACGTCGTAATCGTAGTCATATAACAATACTATCTGGTACACCAGAAAGATACAAGTGCAACATATGTGATAAGATTTTTCGCAATAAGAAGGGCAAATGTTATCATGATGCCTGTGTAACAGGTATCAAACCTTATCAATGTACCTTATGCGACAAGAGCTTCGTGAAACGCTCTCATTTCGAATATCATGAGAGAGTCCATAGAGGATATAAGCCATACAAGTGCAATCTCTGTGACAAGGCTTTTCCTCAGCAGAATAAGCTCAACAGACATATGTTTTCTCATAGCAGTAAGTGTGTTTTATTCCCGTCACATTACACTTTGGAGAATGAGGATTGCGAATTAAAGATTAGAATTTAATTAAAATCAAATAATTTTAATTTTAATCCGTTCCATTCTAATTGGCTACATTTTAATCCTCAATTCGCAATCTTCAGTCTTCAATGCGTAGTGTGACACAGGCATTAGAATTATCCAATTAATTACAGCAAGTCATTATTAATCAGGATTGGGTAAGTTAATTTTTTAAACTAAATTAAGTTAAAGTTAATGGCTTGTAAAATTATATAAAATTAAGTTAAAAATTCAAGGAATAAAGAATTAATTTAGTAAAAGTTAAGATTGAATTAATTTAAGTTTAAAAAAAGTTAATTTAAAAAAAAATTATTTTTGAGATCAATAATTTTTTTTCTTGTCTTAATTTTTCTTATAATGAGATTACTTTAAAGTAATTACTTACAAATATAGATTATTAGGTAAATTTAATTTTATATTCATATGTAAGTACTTATATATAATAAGAGTTACACTATAAGGCGTTTTGTAGAATCTTGCAAGAGAGAAGGGAATATATTGCATTATATTTTTTCTTTTAACCTTTATCTAATTTTTTCTTAATTTCTAAACGACTACTCATGCATGTTTACGACTACATCGACTAGATATCATCATACAAAGAAAAAAAACGTAAAAATTTAGGAAGTGCAGTACTGTTCTACAACAATTCTTCAGCTAAGGCTCATTTCATATTTATGTTGCTGAAATATATAACATTTATGATACCTAAAATTAGTATGATTCAAATATAAATTGGGAATTGACAAAACTTAACGAATCAATAAAAAAACTGGCTATCGGTGTGACTCTTATTACAGTCTCTCTCATCATAAAATCATTGAACTTTTTCTAAATTAATTCTCTAATGTTTAAGACTTTATAGAAAAAAAAATATTAGCATTAAGAGAGGTAGAACAATTTTTAATTTAAAAAAAGTTAATAAATTAAAGTTTAAAAGTAACTAAATTAAGTTAAAAATTAATGCATTTAAAATTAACTAAGTTAAGTTAAAAGTTAATAACTTTTAACTGTTTTTTTTTTAACTGTTAACGTTTTAATTAGTTACTACCCTTGGTATTAAATTATTAGATAACAGATATGAACGTTTTAATATTATTGAATATAGAGATTATAAGTATTTTTCGTAATTATAACAATATGATGTACAAGATGATTCGTTCATCATTTTTGAAATGTTATCTTAAATAATCATTTTTTCGAAAAATTAATTTCATGGAATTGTTTAGCTTGTGGAGTAGAAAAAAGTTCTCTTTAAGTAAATTCTTTAAATAAATCAAAATCATTTTTTTTCTCAACATCACCTATTTTTTGTTATAAATTCTTATAGATCATTATATATTATTTCATGGGATGAATATAATTGTCTAGTATAATCCTGAAATGTTAAAAAAAATTTTTTTAATGTTCCAAAATATTGAATATTCGAAATGTCTATCATTAATTTTCAGATATTTGGCATAGAATATTAATAAAAACTGAACTTTTATAAAGCTTTCATGACTTCAAAGATATTAAAAGAAATACGGCGAAAAACGCGCAAACTTTTTGATATCTTCGAAATTGAACTTTATTAATGATTTCATTGCTAAGTAAAAATTTCTATTTCAAAAATATAGTTATTTAAGGTAATATTTTAAATAATAATATACAAACTACTCAATGCATTTATATAACTGTAATTACATGTTACAGAGGAGAAGCAATTTCCATGTTCCGAATGTAATAAACGATATAGCAAAAAGGACGATTTAAAAAATCATTTAAGCATACACAATTCGACGGCTATATATAAATGCAAGTCCTGCGACAAATCTTTCCGCATATTAACTAATCTGAAACGCCACATGCAAACGCATTCAAGTAAATAGAAAAGTCTTTTCTATTTTCATGAATTTTGTCGAAGTTATGCTAAACAAAAGTTTTATTTTTTTAATCTACTATAATGATTATGTGACATAAAATTATTTATCATCTTTTCGATTTTTAAAATAATGATAATGAATTGATTACTACAGGCGAACGGCCGCACAGGTGCGATCAGTGCAACAAGAGTTTCAAAGAAAAATCTTTATTAATACGGCACAAACGGATCCATGGAAAAGAAAGGCCATTCTCCTGTGCTCACTGTAACAAAGTTTTCTTGTCAAAGAGCGAATTAAGACGGCACTTACCTGTGCATTCAGGTGCGTTAAATATTGAAAAGAGTTTTTATAAGTTGATAAAAAAGCTTAGCCATTCATATATTCTATTTTTAAAAATTGGCAATTATACTATTTAATAGAGTTTAGCTTTAAGAATTTGTATTTTTAATTGCGATACGATGATTTTTAACGGAGTTACAAACAATAAAATCAGAATGTTCCTTTTTACTTAATTCGCGAGTAACTCGGGAACAAAAAATCGTAGAAACATTTTTAAAAAACAATTTTGTAGGGAAAGCTTCAAGCTTTTACGATAAATAAAAAATTGCTCAATTTTTTGGGGCACGCTACAGTGACTTACAAGGTAAAAAGAAAATTTTTCATTTTTTCCAGCTCATAGTTTTCTATATATAAAAATTATAAAACTCACATAAATTAAAGAAAATATATAGTAGTAACTATTTCGAAAATAGAGATTTCAAGCTTTTAAAACCCTTTCTTTAAATTTAAATTTTGATCATTTTTAATGAAGATATGTATAGAGAAAGATCTTTTTACAAACTTGTAAAGGGACTTTTTCCCTAATCCCCAATATTATACTATTTTTACATGATGACAGTCGCTTATTTCTTCCAGACGAAAAACCGTTTTCCTGCGAGTACTGCCAGACACTATTTAGACGTAAGGACAACTTGAATCGACACATCAGGCACCATCATACCGAAGATAATTGCGAGATAAGCAAAACGCCAGTTGAAGCGGACCCATCTTGTTCGGTGAAGAATAATCAACATCGGCAGAAACAGAAGTCGAAGAAGACACAGTCGAAGAATACTGGTAAAATAGTCACGACAATCGCGAGCTCTCATGATCAGATCAACTCACGGCTCGATTCCATGGGCAATATCACGCCTGTAATAAAAGCTACCAGTGAAGTGAGTAACGCAGTACCAGTGATCAACGGACCCATCAACATCAGAAAGCTGGAGGACAAGACCGATAGGAAGATATTTACATATACAGAACCGATTCCGATCGCTGAAGCAGTGGTGCTTAACTGTCGAATCGAGGAGAAATTGTATCCACAAAGTGCCAGCAGCCACAATTACTTTGTGCAAAACTATCTTAAGGACAAGAACTCCAAAGTGAATTCGTATCCTAACAATAAACCAACGCCGCAAGAAAATCACAATTCTACGTCCTCGCAAATTGAGGCACTTCTTCCAAGAGTGACAGTGGATCAAAGAAATTCCACGACTGATGTTTACAATAAAGGAATCAGATGCGAAGAAGAAAAGGACAACCATAGTGAAAACGAGAATGAAAAGCATTCCAAAAAAAGAAGGAATTTCAACGATCACGAGGATTCTGACCAAGAATCGATTTCTTTTCAAGAATCTAACTGCGTTTCTACAATTAAGAAGCATACTATACAGTCGAAAGAATGTCCAAATGTAAATTCAACGAATAATAGTAGTTTGGATACAACAACGAATCATACACTGCCACAGGATTCTCAGAACAATTGCGGAAAGAAACAAAACGACATGCATTGGAGACGCAGAATTGCGGAGACACTGAAACAATATTGATCTTACACAAATCGGTTCATTTGAATGCTACAGTCAGAATGAAGTAAAGTCAGTAACAATTCTGGTGGGAAAATTTTTCTTAGAAAAATTTATCACATAATTTTTCAGAACTTTTATATAAATTTTAGAATATTTCAGAATTTCTATACAATTTTATATGACATTTAAAAATTTTTTAGATTTTTTTATACGAATTAAATTTTATACGAATTAAAACATTTTTCAGAAGAAAATCTACACGGCTTTTCTAGAATTTTTATTCTGAAATATTCTAAAATTTTTTAAAATTTCTCATTATATTTCTGAAAATATATAAAATCTGAAAAAGTTTGAAATACATTTTCAGATATCTTAAATAATTCAAAATAAAAAAAATTTTCAAAATATAAGAATTTTTTTCACCAAAGAAAGGTGAGGTGGAATATAAAATGGCGAGAAATATACAAAATTCTTATAGTGAATCTTTCTCTCTTACAATTCTAAAATTATTTATAACGAAATTATGACTGAACGGAGATATCGTCCTTTCTACTTTTTTATATATAAATTATATTGACTTAATCATTGCAATACATATACATATAGATACGATATATAGATACGATTTACACTCTTCATTGAAATGGTTTACAAATCAAGACTGATTATAGAATACTGGTTATATGGCGCCTAATATAATTATATATCTTAAATGAGATAAATAAAACATGAAATCCATATAAAAAATACAGATGCAATTAAAAATAGTATAACAATTTATTGGCCACCCTCTCACTCTTATGAATTTTTAAATCAATTTACCCTATAAATAGAGGCAAATTTAGGCGTATCATTTATATAATTATTATTGACGGTTTATTTACAATATTAATTAAATTACTTTCATACAATAATTGCACCGCGAATTAAATTATTTCTGCATCAGCCTTATATAAACATTTAAAAAGAAAGACATGCTAATTATTGGCGCATCGTTAATTTAACAAGATTTATTCTTGTTTCTTAATACTAATTTTTATTAATTACGGATATTGCTAGAAAAATGTTGCAGAATGAGAATTTGCAAAATAAAAAACTTTTGATAAATTTGTCACTGTTTACGCAAATGAACGTTAATAACATTTTTTAAATGTACATGTTAGAAAATCGTCCCTTTTGCAGCTTGTTTTTTTATTATTTTTTTATTTGTATAAAATTTTCTTT